ACTAAAGTAACTCCCCAAGAGGTTAACGCACGCAGGTTTAATTGTAATTTAATGTGTGAAACATAAATAGAATTTTTCAAGTATATATTGTACCGACGAATATAGGCATTTTCAAATACTTAACGTGATAAGAACATTGATATAACAAATGCACGCGATATAACAACTGATAAAAAAAAACTATGAATTATCCCCCTTTATAAGTTGAGCACTATAGTAACATATACCATAAGGGGTCGACTTAAACAGGTTTAACCATACTTTAACCGTATGTGCGACATATATTGAAATTTTTAAGTGCATGTTGTACCCTCGTATTTTAATGTATTAAACTTGACAAAAATAACGTGTTATAATACAAAATATAAATTGACCGTCAATAAGTTGACTTACTAAAGCAACACACCTCAAGGGGTCAACTTACACTGTATTTTAATGTATGCAATATACGCAGAAATGTTTAAGCATATATATTGTATCTCAAATTATAACTATTTTCAAATACGTAATAATAATAACTCGATTTAAGAAATTGGAAAAAATGACGCATACTCCCTCTATAAGTTGATCACTAAAGCAAAGCACCTCAAGGGATCAACTTACTTTAATGTGAAGTAACTAGTGTAGCAGTAAATGTGGAGTATTGTAGTAGAAGATGTATAGTAGTAAATGTGCAGTAGTGGTGTAGTAGTTTAATGTGTAGTATAATGAAAGTAATTTCACTATAGTTTAATGTGTGAAACATACATAGAAATTTTTAAAGATATATTATACCTTCAAAAACAAATTTTGAATTACATAACGTGATAAGAAGCAAACCCATTTAAAAAAAAAAATTAAGCATTCGGTCCATGGCCTATAGTATTCTAGAACTACCTTCAATAACTTCAAAAATAAATAAATAGTCATTTTAATGTCACATTAAAATTAATAAATTGAATTGATTGAGTGCAACTCGAATTAAAATATTTGAAAATAACGCTATTATGCCATTCGAATTTGGTAAAGTCTAACGAGAAATAAAATTCTCATAATTTTTCCATTCCACAAATCACCTAGTAATCAAATAAATAAATTTTTATCATTTAGAGGAACGCATTTATTATTTTTTCATCAGAGTTTACATAAACACTATTATGAATTTTCAATAATCGCTTTTTTCTTCAACATTATCAAAATAGAAAAGATTTTATTGTTAAGTTTTTGATTTTTACATTCAAAATTTTTAAAAGTAATAAAAGCTAAAATTAATATTACATCAAACTAAAATAGTTAATAATTTACAGCAGGAAATTGCAATTATAACTTTTATTGCATTCATGCTTGTAAAAGAATGGCAGCTTAACATTTATTGATTTCATTTTTTTATTGAGTATAATAATATGTGATATCCTTGTGTAATAAAAATAATGGATAATATTATTACCACAATCAATTTTTATGTTATAGTAAGATAAAGCACACATAACTTCAAAAAAAAGACATTTTGTTTGCCATCATTCTAAATATGAGTTTTTGCTTGATTTAGTATAACATTTTCAGGTTAAATCTGCCTTCTGATTTCTATCATAAAATCCAAAACCTATTTCTTTTGTATAACATATTCTATTCGTGTCCTTATTATATCATACTTCGTTTAAAGTATTGAGTTTTATTCCTCCACCAAATTACTTAAATATTCCGTATGATAAATAGTCTCTATCATTATGAATACTGACCCCAAATTAAGGGTCAGTTATTATATTATTTTCAATATCTATGGAAATGAAATTTGAATTAAGTAATTTTTGAATTGGTAATATTAAGAATGCTTTCAAACATTAATAATTTTGTATTACATAATATATTTCTAACTCGACATTACTAAATTTATTTAAAAAAAAGTATGTATTTGACTATTTGTTCCAAATAAACGCCTTGGGAATCTAACATATATTTCATTCCCCTCACATGAGTATGCTTTTTATTGAGTCTAATAGTTTAAAAGGTATAGCTAATTTGAATAGAATGTGTCTATGTGTTAACTTACAGTAATTTAGTTCCCATCAAATAAGTGTGGTGTCTTTTACACTGACTAATTACTTTAATAGAGCCAATATAAATAAAGCTTGTTTACGAGATGTTAATCGTAGCTATTTTAAATACTAGAATGTGTCTATGTTTAAACCCTCGTAAATCTAATTCCAATCACATAAGTTTACAGCTCTTATATTGTTCTATTGGTTGGAAACTAGGGAAAATTTGAATAAAGTGTGTTTACGTTTAAACTCAATATTAAATAACTTACGCTTAAACTCAGTATAAATTACCTGATATTTTTGAAAAGGTAATTGATTTCTATGTTTCTATTGAAAAGAAAATTGAGTTGAGGTAAATACAAAGAAACAGCGCCAAACAACAATAAGGTATTATTTATGCAACAAACATGCGTGTAAGTGTAACAGAACAAATTTTAAAATGTTAAGAAGATCTAATGGTTCTTTGACACTTCACTTTTTCTTAAAAAAAGTAAACGCATCCTAAATAAAATTGTATTGATTAGGAAAATAGAAAATCTCACTCAAAATTCCTAATTTGTTAATAAAGATCTTATTACAAAGCTATCAAAGGTTTCTAATGTAAGGTTTATAAATTTATGTAAGGAGACTTTATAATGAGAGGGTGTTACATTTCAAAACAGAAAGAAAGTTTCTCACTTTAGCTATCTCTACAACATAACAAGCCAAAAAAATTCTGGTGAAAATACCATACTGCATGGTAATGACATTTCTGGTAAAAAAAACTATAATTCTGGTTAATAAAACCAATACACATTATTTAACTATAGAAACCATTGGTTTTATATATATTGTCACATATATAAAACTAATATACCGTATTTAAACCATTAACTTAATAATTTTTCGCTTATATGGTAATGGTTTATAGGAAGTTCTGGTTTTTAAAATTGTTGTTATATTTATCCACACATTCAGTAAGAAATACAAAACTGAAAAGAAAATTTAACCGAATAAATGGTTTTAATGCCATGCTCTAAGGTATCATTATAAAATTGCCTGCTTTTACTACATTTACCAAATTTCATCACATATTATAAAAACATTTATATTTTAATGTTAATTGTATCAAAATCATTACTAGAGCGTTTCGGTAGAAATGACAGAGCTTTTTGGTGTTCCCATAGTTCCAGAAAGACAATAAATATTACTCTATTTTCACCGTATTATATTTATGACCATACTTTTTTTCTCAGTGTGAAAAGACTTATAAAACTTATATATGCATTCTACTATATATATTTTGAGATTTATTTAAAAAAAACTAGTTAAATATAAGGAAATTTATAGCCTATTTTTTTATTTTCTCATGGAAAACAAAAGCATAGAAAACAACTCGCAATAAACTATTATTGAAATGCTATTAAAACTTCGTTTAAAAATGGCCAAAAAATGTTAAAAGATTTTTTTTTCGAAATTTTCTTTTTGCGAAATGATAAAATATGAATAATTAGAATTCAATAATTTTATTCTAAATTTTATTAAATTAGAAATTATTAAATATTGCAATGGCTAAAAAGGACAATTTGTTCTCAGAGGAATAAGAAATTATAAGTTTCTATTGAGTTATTTTTTAGAAATATAAATAGAACTACTTTCATATATTCACATTTAGTATGAAGATATCTCATGCATAGAAACAAACTTCCAGAATGTCTTTTACTGATACATTCTAGAATAATTTAAGTATTGATAATTTGCTTGTTTCATAAGAGAAATAAAATGATGGAATTGCCGATATACATATCAGAAACTACTTTAATTTATTGTATACCTAAGACCATACTGAATAGATTATATATAAGATATATCTTAGGCTGAATGCACTAAATTTTGCAAAGTAATATTAATTAAACGACATTATACAATAATTTAAGTAATAATTAATAGTACTACTATAAATAATTAATAGTACTTGATAATTAATAGTACTACTATAAATAATTAATAGTACTACTATAAACATATATATCGTTGCACTGATTATTTCTCAGTTTAGTTGAATTACAAGTTTTCTAAATTCTATGAATTAAGTTAGTATACATTTACAAATTTGGAAAAAAATACTGAAATATTTTTATCTGCTTAATTTTGATTTCATTCGCAACCAAAATTCTCCCCCCCATTTGTGAAATCAACACTATTTTTTTACAGTAAATATTAAAGTCTTTTTTGAAATTTAAAAAAAAAGCATTTTTATAAAATGAGAGTATCTAAATTATTGAAATTCAAGAATTTTATTCTAAAATTTATTGAATTAGAAATTATTAAATATAACAATGGTAAAAAGAACAACTTCACCAAAAAAGATGTTTTCTAAATTTTTACTAAAAATCTTTTTAGAGCCAAAAAAGATTTTTAATAAACGAAAGCATTATGTTTAAAATAAAACCACATAAATCGGAATAGTAACAAAGTTCATTTGTTTACTGTCACTCAAAAACAATCTTATTCTCTCTCTCTATTATATATATATACATATATTAGTAATAGTTCAGTTTAGTATAGTTTAAATATAGATTTTCATATTTTAAATAACTTAAAATGTTGGTTTTAATCCTTCTGAAGTGGTTTTTCAAATGCTTATTAGATTTTGTATAAGTCATGATGTTTAAAATAAAGTGGTTAAATAGATTTAAATAGTTTAAAAAAATCAATTTTAATCCATAAGTGTAAGTCAAAGTTTCATTTTGTCTGTTATTAGTTTTTACGTTACAGAGAACAATAAAAGTAAATGAACAATTTATAAAATAATATTTTTTTAATTCTTTTTTGAATTAATATTTCTAAGAAAGATATAAATGTCATTTGAAGAAAATATTTCCAAGATCATAAACTATTTTGTGACTTTAATTCCGACTATAAGTAATTTTTTGAACCATTTTTTCAAAAATTAAGTAATTCATTTCGATAAAAAGTAGAACAAAGAATTAGAACACTAACCTGTTCTGTCATTTTTTTGGAATTTAACAGTTCTTATTTTCGATTATATTCCGAATAATAGTGCTTGTAAACAAACACTGACACATGTTTTCGTTTTTTATAATATCGTTTGGGGTCCGGTATCTTTGGACCCTCCACGAGTTTTTGGCATCTTCAATGAGTGCCATCTTTGACGTGTAGGTGTCGCCAGTGTGAATTCAACCGTGACATGTTGTGGTCCCTCGGGAAATAGACCAATGGGAGGCTCGTTAGTGCGCGGGAGTTGGTTAATAACCGCGTCTCTATGGGAACTGAAAAATGGTGAACTACTAGCTTCATTAACTGCTTGCGCGTATATGTTTCTGTATATTAAGACGGCTTTTTTATTCTCATTTATTCGAAGGTTATGCCTTAGTGTATGTTTTCTGCCCCTCCTAGAAGAGTAAAAACAATGGTGCAATTACATCTTTGTTCATCAACGAAATCGCTTAGAAATCTAGGCGTTGCATCTCTGGTCGAAAGAAGAAATCCATATTTCTATTCGCAGAAATCATTGCGGTAAATTTGCGAACGGAGGAAAAAAAAACTAATATGCATTTATTCTGTATCGACCTTGAATTTTGTTAGTTTTATTTATAAATAAATAATAAAATTCTTAAGCATTTAAAACGATTATATAATTACACCTTTCTTTTATAATTGTTGCAACTCGTAACTGTTTCAAAATAAAAATGACTTTCAATTTCTTCAGATATGAAAAAGATTCAATATCGCAAAGCTAATGGGTTCTTTATTTTTTTATATTTCTCTTTTACAGATTTTACACATGATTACTATAAAAAAGTGCAAGACTAGGGAAATTAAAGCTAGTTTTAATTTTTTTGATAAAGTATAGATAGGTAATGCCATAAATTAGCTACTTGAATAAGAATGTTAAAATTTCTTTTACTGGAATAAAAAGGAGGTAGTTATGGTGAGTGAGGGGATAGGGAGCTCGCTTTCTAATAATGTGGCACAGATTCAAATCTCAGCGATGCTGGTCAGCAAGATTTCTGCTCCCGACTCAAACCAAACACAATGCTGACGCAAACTGGTCATGGGTTCAAATCCCTTTGTGGTTGAGCTAACAGTGGGAGGTTCTCCTCTCCATCGCAAATCAAGGTTAGTTTCTTCAAAAAGTCCTCCATAGTTGTAAACCTTAAAATGAGTTAGGCCTTTCAACACCAACTTTCAAGAGAAGCAGAGAGATGAATAATTTTACAGCAGTTATACTTTAATAAGAAAACTTTCATGTTAATTCAAGTTAACAACATGTTTTTTACAACATTTTTATTTGGCATTGTTTTGTTTACAACATTTAACAACATTTGTTTTATAAAAATGTTTGCGTATTGTGAAAATGAAGATATTCAGAAAAGTGAGGACTTAACTGGGAATTCTTTTACAGTATTGAGTGCAATACAGTTTCGGTTAAACTTGATTGTATTAATGAATAAATATTTCGAATGGTTTCTTAGAATTTTACTTGCAACCAAATGGACAACCATTTTTGAGAAAGATATTTGGTACAGAGAGAAAATAAATAACGAAAGAACAAGAAGTCAATATAAGAGAAAATTGAAAAATCAAATCAATAAATCTCAAACCAGTAAACAAATAAATCGTTCATTTAATTGGCGTTCCAGTGAACCAGGGAATGAACAATTCTATGAACTAGCATTGAATGGAGGAGGAGGAAATAGTGAATGGGCGAATTAATGAATGGGCGAATTAATGAATGAAAGAAAGAATGAATAGACAATACTGTCAATCGATGTTTAGAGAGTGGGGGATCAACTGAATGACTGACTAATTTAATAAATGAATCATTGAATGAGTGAATAATTGAATGAGTGAATCATTGAATGAGTGAATCATTGAATGAGTGAATCATTGAATGAGCGAATCATTGAAGGAGTGAATCATTGAATGAGTGAATCATTGAATGAGCGAATCATTGAATGAGAGAATCACTGAATTGGCTGATAAGTTTATAAAAATGAGAAAGATTGAAATAAATAAAATAGCTAAGCTTTACTTCTTTCGATTTATTTCTGCAAATTTTTATTATAAATTTTATATCTATATGAGTTTTATATTTGAGATCTAAGAAAAGCATTGCGACAATAAAATGATGTCTTTGAAATTCATAAAAATTATGACTAGAGTATTTTATTTCCGAGTTCATAAAATTAATGACAAGCGAATTTTGCTTTTGATGAACCATTTTAAAATAAATAAATTTTTTACGAAATATAGAGTTATAATTTTTTATTTAAAGTTGAAGCCGACAGAATCGGGCTACTGAGCTGCTTTAACAGTTCATTTTTATACGAATAAATGTCTTACAGTTTAGTGCCACTTTATTATGAATTGAAAACAGTTATACAAATTTTCCATTAATCAAAAAACCTTTAGTGATTAAATTTTCCATTAAATGCAAAACAAAATCATAAATGCCTTATTTTTATCCATTTCAGATACAGTGAATAATTTATTTTTTAATTGCCAGTGGAAGATACCAGGAAAAAACATCCATTTATCACTGAAAAGGGTGATTATGTGGGATTCAAGTCACTTCTAATTGCAGCTGGTAGGGGTGATACGCAATATATTTAGGTCGATCGGGTCGACCGTGAATTTGTTCGACATTTTTGACAACGATTAGAGAGAATTAATTTCCTACATACCATGATTGAAACATATCTGTCCAGGGAATGATTTGTAAAAAATTATGCATCGGCTGATGAAGAAGAATGATTTATTCTATCTATGGTTTGCTCAGCCCATCCCATGTTATAATGCATTTTTATATATAAATAATGATTTCAGCAAATTAACAGAGATTAACTATTAAATTATAAAATGAATAGGAACAATTGTTGGAAATTAAGATATATTTAGCTGTTACAGTGATTTAGTTTAAGTTTTTAAGCACTGTAAAAAATAAATGTAAACTCTACAGAAAAAAGAAAAACATGTATATTTTTGCAGAAAAAACTGTATAAAGATAAATACCGATCTTTTCTGTTTTTAATCGGTAACGACGAGCTGCAAAAAATTCTGATTTTTTTTTTACAGATTTTTTCAGCATATTTGACGGTTTAAAGCTTTTTTTTTTTTTTACAAAACAGTTTTTTATCTGTTTNAAGCTTTTTTTTTTTTTTTTACAAAACAGTTTTTTATCTGTTTTACTCCCTAATCTTAAACGAATTAAAAATTTGAATTCAAATCTTAGTTCTTTGTCAAGCAGTTTATTGACCGTAAGATAACTTTATCTTTTTTTTTAACTCATTTTACAATTATTTTCTACACTTGCTCTTACGTTTCAGAAAAAAAATTATGTTTCTCAATATCGTATGAATAAAATCGTGATTCGTCTTCATGGTCGAACTGATACTCTATCTGATAATTAACTATCATTAGTTATAATTTTCGGATTAGTTAAATTGCCAGAAACGTTTTTATACTTAAATATGATTTCGATAAATAAGACTTTTAGGATAAAGACATTTGAATTTTTTTCATAACCAAACGGTACGGTTTGGGAGACAGAGTGATCATCTTTCAATGAGGTGATATAGGCTCGAATCCCCGCGTTTATTGAACAGACTTTAATCAGAGAGTTTTTGTTAAAATAACAGAGTATGAGTAAACCAGAGTACTCATATGCTCTGAATCAGTATGTCTTTACACTTAAATATGATGTGAATAAGTAAGACTTCTCGGATAAATGATAAGTCAATTATTTAAAAATAGTCGATTATTTAAAATTAGTTGAATATGTACTTTTCCTTAAATAAGTTGTAATCATACAAATGTCGAATATGCCTTTTAAATTTAAAAAATAATGCGTGAATAATTATTATTAAGTGGTAATTATAATAGTTATTATGATCATGTATCGTTATAGCAATTAATAATTATTATTTATAATAAATGATAAAAAGAATTTTTTGTTGTATAATTATTATGATCAAGTTTGAGAATATAATAATTCCATAATTATTTTAATTATCATTTTTAATTTACTTAAAATGACTATAATAATTATAATAGTTATTTTGAATACGTATGGCAATAATAATTAATTAGTGGATAATAGGAATTATTATTAATAACGAGTGATTTAAAAATTTTTTTTTGAGGAAACGATTCTCTAAAGAATGGTTTATTGGAAACGTTTCTTAATTTACAATTTTCAATTATTTTTTAAAGTCATTATAATAGTAGGTCCTTATTATAATAGGCCCATATTATATTAGATCCTTATTATATTATGTCATTATTATATTTAATATAGTTATGTCATCATTGTATCAAACATAACTTAGCTATTATACTTAATTATGCAGTGTTACAACAAGTCAAATTTATAATATTATAATAGCTAAATGCAACAACTAAGTTAAAAAAAATTTATTTCTAAAGCTGCATTGAAAATGTCTTAAATCTGTCCTTGAGATGCGACAATATATTTGAACAATAACAGATCTTGTTGCGTTTTGTTTAAAACAGATTCTTCTAGTTTCGTAAATTCCCTAAAATCGATTTTCCATTCATGTATTTTTGTTTTTCAAAGTATTTTATTGGGTGTGTCTAGCATTAACACAAATCGCGTGTCACATAAAAATGCCTGCTAAGCGTAAATTTACGACACCTTGAACGATGACTTGTCCGAAAGAAATGTAAAATCTCATTTAAAATAAAGAAAGAAAAGATAATCAGAGCTAGTTTTACGGTCATGTTTGCTTTATTACCAGTAAATGTGTAAAAAGCGCTGAGGGTGGTGGCTTTTTTGTATACATTTGATTTATTATGAAGTTTAAGACTTTTATGACAATAATTGAAATAAAAGCCCTGTACTGCTTTCAGTTCAGTTCACTTCAAGGTTAGAAAAATTCCTCATTGCATATAAGAAGCATTAATTTTGCTTCTTTTCAAATTGTAATAAGAGCGGCGTTATTATATTATTTACGACGATTTTGAGGAAACCTTTGACCATTTTACATGCAAGACTTTGTTAGATAATTACTCAGAATAGTAAAGTAATTATCAAAATAGTTTATTCTATTACATTGTTATTAGCATTTAATAATTTAAAAAAAACATGCTTTC